GCCGTGCTGTGGGGGGCTGCGCCCCGCTGGGGCTGGGAGGGGTCTTCCATCCCCGACTTCCCGATGGGTCAGGAGTCCCGCCACGGCAGCCAGAGCAGGACGTGGGGACACTAGCTCGTTCCTGGCCTCAGCGGGAAAGCAGACTCCTGGGGGTGGCCTTCCCGGGGGCACGTGTGGGGAGGGGCGGGTTCTGCTGAGAGACCGGGAAGGATGTAAGTTCTAATTCATGGGTTTTGTACCATCCCCATTAAGCTCGAACCCTGTACGGAAATCCCTTCCATAGCATCGCAGGTGGGCTGTGGGCACTCACTCGCATATGTTCCGCCACAGGGAGCTCACTACCTCCCAAGCTGGCTGTCCCTGGCACAGCTTCCCCTCCTGAGGGCTGTTTACCTCCAGGAAGGCCCCTGGTGCGCCCCCTGCGGGCCCGCGGGCTCTCTGACGGGTGGGAGGCACCTGGGACATGATGATAGACTCGGAGGGTCCCAACGGGAAAAACCAGGGTGGGACGGGGACCTAACCCACATGACAGGAAGCTAACTGGCTGGTGCTGTGCGAGCTGCATCCTGACAGGAGATGGCACCTGTCCGTCCACCGCCCCCCCCACCCCCCCCAGGTACCTGTACTTCACCAACATGCAGGACCGAACAGCCAAGATCGAGCGCGCGGCCCTGGACGGCACCGAGCGTGAGGTCCTCTTCACCACGGGCCTCATCCGCCCGGTGGCCCTCGTGGTGGACAACACGCTGGGCAAGCTCTTCTGGGTGGACGCGGACCTGAAGCGCATCGAAAGCTGTGACCTGTCAGGTACATGCCCTGGGCATCCTCAGAATCGGGTCCCTGGGCAGCCACAGGTCTGACCTTCCCCATAACACCCGGCCTCCCTTGTCATCAGTAACCGTGGTAGTGGCCGTGGTTGTTGGGGACCTGCTGTGAGCGGGCACAGCTGGGGCTTCACGTTCACCTCATGTGGCAGAGGCCGAAGACGAGGCTCAGAGAGGGCGAGCAAGTTGCCCTGGCTCCCACAGTGTGGGGTGGGGCAGGAGCCGATCCCCGCCTCTGCCTCCACTGCCCAAGTCCCAGGTGGGCCGCCTTCGACCAGGAGGCCCGTGTCTGGAGAGGAGTAGGAGTGGGTGCGTTGAGGGCCTTTTCTTCCATAAGATGGGGTGGGGTAGAGGGAGGGGTCCCGTGTCCCTGATCCCAAGGCTGTCGCGGGCGGGAACAGGGGCAGTCCGGGCTGGTCTCAGATCTGCTCCAGCTCCAGCCCCAGCGTGGAGTCCTGCAGGCTCCCTGCCAGCCCCTCCTCACCTTCCCGAGCCAGGTGTGGGTCATGCTGTCACGGTCGGCTGCCACTCAGGGGCGCTTGTCCCATCTGCAGGGGCCAACCGCCTGACCCTGGAGGATGACAACATCGCGCAGCCCGTGGGCCTGACCGTGCTGGGCAGGCATCTCTACTGGATTGACCGCCAGCAGCAGATGATCGAGCGCGTGGAGAAGACCACTGGTGACAAGAGGACACGAGTCCAGGGCCGTGTCGCCCACCTGACCGGCATCCACGCCGTGGAGGACATCAGCCTGGAGGAGTTCTGTATGTGGGGGGTGGGCGGCAGTGTGGGGGGTACCCAGGAAAGGGTGGGCCTGGGCTCACAGCACAGTGACCCCGAACTGGCCCCTTTCGGGAGAGAGGAGGTCGGGGCCGCTGTGCGGAGTGGTGGTGCCGAGGCCCTGTTCTCGGGTTGGCTCCTGGAGGCCTCCCTCAGGCCCTCAGGCCCGCTCCCTGCCTCTCAGCGACAGATCCGAATCTCCTACTTCCTCCAGCGGGAGAGCCCGTCTGCTTTCCAAGAGCCCGTGGTTCGATGGTTCGATTAGGCCCCACTTTGTCTCCCTTGCGATGAACTCAAGTCAGCTGACTAGCAGCCTTCGTGACATCTGCAAACCCATGGGTGCACTAGCTCATCTCATCCCCTGTGCTGGGGGTTTGGGTGGGAAATTGGGGAGCGATTAGGATTCTGCCTGCCACAGCCTGCCGTCTACACCAGGGCCTCTTGTTCCTCTGTCCCCTCCATATATGACCATGCAGGGTGCGCGTGTGTAGGTGTCTACCCGCGTCTCTGTCTTCTCACTCTTCATTCAGTAAATGCACCTGGGCTGACGGCGGGCTAGGCAGGGCCATCGCTTTCTCTGTCCTGTGATGCCCAGGGTCTGGCCAAGTTCAAGATGCTCGTCTTCAAGCCCCTGGGGGCTCCCCGGCTCCCCATCCTTACCCCAGCCCCTCATCCTCCCACTGGCCAAGCGCCTGCTCCCTGGAGTCCCTCTGTCTGGTCACCTTTCCTTCTCCGTCTGAAGAACTCCTAATTCTTCACTCACTCAGCTCAGGTGTCCCTCTCTTGTGGATGAGCTTCTACCCTCGGACCCCCCTCCCTGCCACGTGGTGACTGTCCTGCCTCCCAGGCCCTGTCCTGCCTCCCAGGCCCTGTGCTCACGGTGTCATTACCTTACCTGTATCTCACAGTTGTGCTACTTTGCATCTGAGGAAAGCAGGGCTCAGAGAGCGTGTTTAGCTTCCCCTTGTCAATTGGCTGATGGACACGATGGGGCTTGGATTTGAGGCCAGAGCTCATGCTGTAGCTCCTGGGCTTGCCTGTTGCTTACCTCCAATTCGGCTACCAGGGTCATTAGAGTTACCTGTGAAGTACAAAACCTGGGTCTGAGCGAGGTCTTGGCTCCCTGGGTGTGACCTCTGACACAGTGACTCTGTCACTTGTGTGTTGACTGCTAGGGGCGGAGCCAGTGCTTTCTGCCATTCTCACCTCAGGGAGGTCAGCCACACCCCCCTCCCCAGGCTCCTTCCTCTGGGTCAGGTGTGGATGTGTTGTTAGTGGAATTGAAGTATGCGCACTCCCCACAGAGTCAGTACCTGCCACTTGAGCTCCCCTGCCTATTTGTACCCTGCAGTCCCTGTAATAAATCACCACAAACTGGGTGACTAAGTGCATCAGAAAGGTGGCCTCCCGTAGTTCTGGAGGCCAGAAGTTTGGGATCAAGGTGTCTGTGGCGTCAGCTCCCTCTCCAGGCCTTGGGACGGTTCTCTGCCCCTTCTAGTTTCTAGTGGCTACAGGCGTTCCTTGTGGCCACATCACTCCAATCTCTGCTTCTGCCATCACACCGCCTCCTCCCCGG